GGAGGTCTCCTGCGGGGGGGACGCTGCTGCTGAGGGAGGGGAAGCCTGGCGAGGCCCATGTGGTGATGTGGAGAGCGAGACAGCCCAGGGAGAGTGGTAATGGTAGGCGATGAATTAAGAACCCAAGAAGCCGGTTGAGGAAGTTCATGGAGCGAGGCAGAAGTGTAGACATAGTGCACAAAACTTATATTAATTTATTTTCATTCGTAATAATTCTAATTTCACTTAATAATAAATTCTAATCTATCTAATCTAATCTCAAAAGTCCTCTAATTTCAACAAATTTGATACGTAATCCTATTCTAATTTCAGTACAGTTCAGTTCACACCAACTAAAATAATCTAATCTAATTAGCTAATTAACTTTACATAAATAATTATCAAATAATACTTACCTCGTTTGTCCAAACAGAGTCGATACGATGTTGGCCATGTCCCCAAAGAAGTGCCGGATCGACCGGACCTGGATCAATTGTCGCCGGCGGTAATCTCATCGAATAAGGGTCCATAAGTCTAGGAACTGCAAAAACAAAGTAACAAAACATTAATTAAAATAAAATAAAATAAAATAAAACTTGTCGTCGGCGAGAGTCTCACCGCGTAAACGGCCGCCGACTCCACCACGACCTCACCGGCCTCTTCCCCTGCCTCTGCCGGCGACTGGTTCGTTGTTGGACGACATCTCCGGGCGATGGCGTTTCTGTTGGCAGCGGCGGCGTTTGACTCTGGGGCGGCGGCGTCGGACGACATCACCTAGGACTTGTTTTAAAAATTTAGTAAAGCGGCCCCGCCTGAGTCTTAGGTGGCCCCGCTAGGCTAGGGACTTTGAGCCCGATCCGGCGGGTCTGACCCGGCCCAACTCGCATAGGGACGGATAAAACCCGGCCCGTTAAGAGATGGGGCGGGTCTCGACCCGGCCCGCCCACAGTTCAGGCCAGGTTTGGGTATAACCCCTGCCCCGCCCCGTCCCCGACCCGCCCTGCTCCTTGCCCCTTTCGTCTATCGATCTTCCCCTCCTCCCTTTCCCAACTACGCCCACATCTCCAAACTCCACCTCCACGACCCATCCCACCATCACCAGCCGCCGCCGGAAACCCTAATCTCCACCCTCACTTCCCTATCCTCCACCCCCAATTCCAAGCTCGATTCCCTCTCCCGCCTCGCCAAGCTCACCAAATTCGACCCTTCCCTCCGCTGCCAGCTCGCCGAATCGGGCGCCCTCTCCGCCGTCCTCAATTGCCTCGCCAGTCGCCACAATTCATAATCTCAATTCCCATCAACCCCTACAGCTTGCAGGTGCCCAACTCTTCCCCTCCCCTCTCCTATTTACTCCATCATTAACCCTCCATCCTCAACCCCAAGAAGAATTCATTCAGCCAACGAGATGTTTGGCTTCCCGAAGAAAAACCATCATGAATTCAGCCTATCATATTTCGATTTCCTTCTCCATCTCCTATCCATAGGTCACCGTTTCGTTTCCTCCATCCCCATTCCAATTTCAGTTTCCATAGATAAATAGAAACTCCGGTTGCTCTTCCTTGTAACTCAAAGCCAGCTAGTTGATGATTGCTTTCTTGAAGCTGTCTTTGCTCGAGTCACTTTGAGTCTTAGACGTTCAGTTGAGTTGTTCAGTTGCTTGATGCTGTACAAATCACCTTCTCGAATCTCGGTCAAGGACAGGTAATTGATCATGATTCACAAAGTTTTCTTATCTCTCTTAGACTCTCACGAGGCTTTTGTAGCTTTTCTAATTCAACTAAAGTACCATGTTAACAGTAGCAATCGTATCTTTCTTACAGTTAAAAACTATGGCAGCCCAAGGAAATTCCAATAGGAATACTTCTTCCCCTGTTGATTCTCCATCATCTGTTGTTGCGCCTTTTGCATCTGAGAACCCACCAGCTTCTACAGCGCCAAATGCGAATGAGGTTGTACAAGTTCAAGTACAACCCAATCCAAATGAGGCTCCACAAGGGGAAGAAGATGGCAAAGGCGGAAACATAAAGACTACCTCTAAATGGTGGGGATATTTTGATAGAGTAACTGTTGGAGGATTGAAAAAGGCCCAATGCAAGTTGTGCAAGAAGCTGCTCGTTGGAGAACCAAGGCACGGGACTAGTCACCTGAAAAAGCATGTCCAAAGATGTCCCAAAAGAAATGTCCCCGATTTAAGGCAACAACTGCTTCAAGCCAACTTGAACAAGGACAAAGGGTTTCAACTCTCTCCTTTCAATTTCGATCAGCGAAACTCTCGACAAGAACTTGCAAAGGCCATTATAAAGCACGGGTATTCTCTGTCCATCGTCCATCACGAAGGGTTCAAAAGCTTCTGCAATAGTTTGAATCCTTGCTTTAAGATGGTTTGCAGAAAAACCATTAAAAAGGATTGCTTGAACGTTTTTGACCTTGAGAAGACAGCTACAAAGAAGATTATGGATAAGAATGAAGGTCGGCTGGCATTTACCACAGACATGTGGACATCTACTCACCAAAAGAAGGGATTTATGGCAATCACAGCCCATTTCATCGACAACCAGTGGAATCTACACAGTCGGATTATCAGGTATCCTATAGTCTGTAGAGTTGCAGTTTAATTTCTGTTTGCTTACTGCCTAATTCTGTTTGCTTACTCTGTTTACTCTTTTAAACTTTTGTAGGTTCATTTATGTGCCTGCCCCCCATACTAGCGAAGCTCTTTGTGAAGCTTTGGTGAAGTGTCTGTTGGATTGGAACCTAGACAGGAAATTATCATCAATCACCGTAGATAATTGCTCAACCAATGATGCAATGATGGCCTTACTTCTAGAGAAGCTTCCAACAGCCACAGATTCTCTTATGCTTGGTGGTTCTATGATCCACATGCGTTGCTGTGCACACATCCTCAATTTGATTGTGAAGGAAGGTCTTAAAGTCATTGGAGGTGCAATTGAGAGCATACGTAGTAGTTGTCAATTCTGGCTGGCAACACCAAAGAGGGTCGAAATGTTTGCAGAGACAGCTTCCCAACGTAACATTGTGAATGGTAAGAAACTGATTCTCGATTGTGATACTCGCTAGAATTCGACTTACTTGATGCTTGATACTGCAATGGGATACAAAGATGTCTTTTATCGTTTGAAACGTCGGGAGCCAAAGTATAAAAATGTGCCTACTGAACAAGACTGGGAAATGACAAGGGAAATTTGCAGTAGGTTGAACATTTTTTATAGAGCTACTAATATGTTCTCAGGCACTCAATATCCTACTGCAAACATGTTTTTCCCTGTCATTTGTGAGATTAAAATAGCTTTGAACAAGTGGTCTGTTTGTGGTATCACAACCATTGAATTGATGGCCTTAGATATGATAGAGAAGTTCAACAAGTATTGGTTGGATGTGAATGGTTTGATGGGAGTGGCTGTCGTTCTTGATCCAAGATTTAAGCATGAGGTGTTGGAGTTCTATTTTCCTAAAATTTATGATAAGAACAGTGCGCATGAGGTAGAGCGCATTCTTGGATTATGTCGTCAACTGGTTGTTGAGTATGAGGAGAAAGAAAGAGAGGAGGAACAAGTGAATGGTGTTAATGGGGGCTGCTCAGAAGCAAATGATTGTCAAGACACTTTTGGTTTCGAGTTTCACTCGTACGCATCTAGCAAGAAAAGGAAACGACCATCCAGATCAGAGCTTGATGCATATTTGGAGGACGAGCTTATTAAGAGTGTTCCTGATTTTGATCTCTTGTCTTGGTGGAAGTCCAATAAGGGAAAGTATCCTATTCTGCACAAAGTTGCTAGAGATATTCTGGCAATTCCGGCTTCAACAGTGGCTTCTGAGTCAGCCTTCAGTACAAGTGGGAGGATCATTAGTCCTCAACGCAGTAGGCTTAGCCCGGAGACTGTTGAAGCCTTAATGTGTGCACAAAGCTGGCTGTTAGATGGTTCAGTTGGTAACTTTTCTTACTCAGCTCTTTACACTTATATTTGTCTGAATTTGTACTATTGTGAATCTGTTCTATCATTGAATAATTAGACTTAGTTTTGCTTGTTTGCAACTGCTGCTAATTTGCTTAATTGTTAAACAGTGGATCCTTTGGATGATGATGAATCTGATTCTTCAGATGATGAGGTGCAGGAGACGGATAAGGTACACCCGAGAACACTGTTTTAGCCTAGTAAAAAAAAGGATACTTTGGAGGATGACTGGATGATCAATCTGACATCATATTTTGCTACATTGTCCCTTTGCCAGGCTTGAATTCGAGGACGGGGAGGAGAGGAGTGTTGCTGAATGTTGAGTTGCTGCAAGTGCAGAATTACAAAAAAGATTGCTGTTTTAGGAAGATTTGATACTTGTTGCTGCTGAGTTGCTGTCAATTTTTGTTGTGTCTTTTCTAGTTTGTTTGGATCTTGAGACTCCTATCCTAAGACTTATGTGGATTTGGAATTTTGGATTGAGTTGATGAGTGCTTGAGTTGTCAGAACTGGCATTGGAGTTTGATTTTGGTTGAAATGAAATCAGAGTTTTTATTGAATTTGTTTTTCATTGTTTGAGTTTGCTAACAGGTAATATAGTGTGCAGGGCGGACTTGGGTAGGACCCGCCCCGTTAGGGCTGGGCAATGGGCCATGACATGCTGGCCCGTTGTGGGTTTTGGGGCGGGCGGGCCTAATTTTAAGACAATGGGGTGGATCTGGGTTGAGCACTACCCGGCCCATTTTGGACCCAGTCCCATCCCTAGGCCCCGCCTTCATCTAGCCAAAAAATACAATATTCTTGTCAATACTTTTTAATTCGCAATATTAGTGGTAATTTAAAAAAAAAACAATATATGTGTCATTCTTCCTATTTTTGTTGGGCAATGAAAAATAAAAAACAAAATGAGGCATAAATCTTCTTGGATTGGATTCAGTTTTAAAGTAATAATAACTAATTAGCGCAATTTTGAAAGTAACCGTTGCTCATATTTCCAAAGCATGCCCCCTCCACTAAAGTCCATACCCCACTACGGCACAGTGCCGGCAAAACTAGCCGTTACCCGCCCTCCACCTTTATTCCTTCATAGTTCTCGTCGACAATCGCCATTTCCGCTCTCTTCGCAAAAGCAAACTCAATCGATAACTTTGTTTCTCGCAACTTCGAATTGGAGAACCGATTAGAGACTCTTGCCTTTGTTTCTTTCGTTATGGCGTCCAAAACAGCAGCAAAAGATATCATCACGCTCAGAGGCTCCGCCGCCATTGTCAGCGAGTTCTTCGGTAACCCTCTTTCCCCTTCGATTCGATTCCCTTTCTGGGTTTCTGTTGTGAGATCTAAATATGGGGACTGATGGTTTGCTTTTCCTTGTATTTGGTTTTATTGGGAAACCCTATTCATTCAGGCTATGCAGCAAACAGGTAATCTGCGGCACCCTTTTCGTTCCTTTTTTCTCGATCTTTACTTTTTTGGTCTGGGGATTTGGAAGATTGATTTTGTGAGATGGGTTTTCTTGGTGTGTTTTTTTTGTGTGGTTTGGTACAGTATACTGTACAATCGCGCGGTTTATCCAGAAGAGAGCTTTGCCAGGGTCAAGAAATATGGGCTTCCCATGCTGCTCACTAAGGATGAAGGTGTTAAATCCTTTATTTCCAATCTTAATGCTCAGTTGTCAGGTAACATCTTGCTCGTTCCTCAGTTTCTCAATTCTGGAGTTTTCTGTTTGGTTGCTTGGAAAAGGGAGGAAAAACTTGACGAAAAAGAGAGAACCAACTGTTTGGGGTTAGAGATGTAGATGAATTGGAAGTTAACTGTGGGAGTGTCTCTCCATTAAGACTTCAGTGCACTTTGACTGATTGCCAAATTTTCTTTGATTGGTTGTTGGTTAAAATAAAACCATTGATGGCTGAAATTTAGGGTTCCTGAATTATCTTCTGTAGAATGGCTGGAAGCTGGGAAGTTGCAGAGAGTTGTTCTAGTGATAATGAGCATGAATACTGGCGAGGTTCTAGAGAGGTGGAATTTCAGCATTGAGACTGACAATGAGGTTGTGGAGAAAGGGTGAGTGCCAAACAACGCCATTACCTAGGATTTCAAGAGTTTTAATGTCTCCTTCTGATTGTTGCCGTATATGATGTGATCTTTTCACCAGGGTTTCCAGGGAGAAGAGTGATAAAGAGATCATGAGAGAGATACAGGCAATCATGCGCCAGATTGCCTCCAGCATTACTTACTTGCCATGCCTGGATGAACAATGTGTGATTTTTGAATTATCCAAGTCCTGAAGTCCTTGAAGCCTTCAGCATTATGCTTACATACAGAGTTCATTGAGCCTAAATTCCTTTTGTCTAATGTTTTCTTGCCTGTTCCATTAGGTGTATTTGATGTCTTGGCATACACGGATACTGATGTAGCCGTCCCTTTTACTTGGATGGAGAGTAGCGATGCCAAACTGATTGCCAACCCACAAATGGTGAAGTTGCATTCTTTTGATACCAAGGTAACAAAAAGCTTGGGAACTCGAGATTTTCGTTCTTCTTCCATCAATCATAAGCTCAATCATTGGTTGAAATCCAGTAGTAGTTGGTAAAGCCAGCTCAAGGCACTAGGTTGATTAGTTGCAAGAATGATTTATAGCTTCTGCCAGTAACCATGACAGCTGAATAGCAGCATTAAACTTGGAGAGGTTGATGCTGAGCTGATTTGTGTGACCACGGTGGCTTGTGCAGATTCACAAGGTGAACACTCTTGTTTCGTACAAGAACGATGAAGAAGAATTGGATGATGAAGAGTAGACACGGATCAGCAGAGCTCTCTCCCGAATTGTTTCGAGATTGGTTTCTTGTTTTCCCTTCCCCTGCATCTTCTGCTGTGAATCTTTTATTCACATTTTTTAAAGAGTTACGCATAAGGGTTGTAGAAATGACTACTTTGTAACTGTTCTTGACTCTCCATCGAGATGAAGTTTGGTGTCTGTTATTGTAATGAGAAAGGAACCATGTGTACGAATCGTTCTTTGCTGTTTTCCATATCTCAGAAGGACCCCAAAAAGCTGGACCATTTCTATTGTTCTGATAACAAGCACATAATCTAGATATAGCTAACCCCTTTCTAATGTACCTTATTGTTCTAATAAAAGATGATTGACTTATTATTATACTTTGAACTCTTATCCATCATACCAAGTTGTCACAATCGTGACTGAAATGTGTCAGAGATGAACAGGAAGAAGAAGGATACAGAGAAGGCATGAGAGGAAATAAAGTAAGCAGAAGACGTCTTTTTCGTTTGTAGTCCTCCAAATCGAAATCTGCAATCCATACCGCAAAAGGAAACCCCTGTGGTTTAAAGTTCAGAAGCAGAAGCAAAACCCTATCAGACAGAACACACGTTTCCATCTTTTTGGATTAAAATAAACTGAACAAAGCTTTGCTGATATTGAACGAAACAAAACTTTTAAGCTACAGTATGTACAGAAACGTTGAAACTGTCCAAGTCAACCCTAACTATTTTCACAAGCTACAAATTATGTATACACTTTTGGAGAGAGCGGCCATAAATACATGCATAAAACACAAGGAAACAAAGAGATGTTACTGACAAATTGGTGCTTGCAGAAATGGTCAGTCATGGCTATATAATCAATTCACGCCACGATACAAGGCGCCAGGCCTGAGATCGTCCATACTATCAACGTTTCTGTAACCATCAAACTCCCTCAAGCATGTCCATCCACGTCGGTTTAGAAAGTCCCGGTAGTCGTCTTCGGTATAGAAAAGCTTCTCCTCAGTGTGCACTGGTATGTGGTCGGTCTCATCGTACAAGCATACCTTTATACCCAAACCTGATACAACCAAAGTGTTCTAAACATGCTTCAATATACCAATAGCTCAATGCTGCAAACTAGAGGAGGCAAGTATCAGCCCAACCCACCGTTCCAACCTATAAATAGGTGTGTTTGTGATACCGTATCGTACCAGCTAAAATATATACAGGTGACCAAGCCAGTATAGTTACATTCACAGTTCTAACATGATTTTGCTGTTATAACCTATTATACTTTGAACTCTCAACCCCAACGGTTTTATATCCGGTATGGTTTCGTAATCCATTCTTAATTCCCATCTAAATCAAACCCACTTTACCCAAATCCATCGGGTTGGAGGGCAAAATGACTTGAATTGATGGATCACTGCTAAACACTGTTCAGCACGTAAACATTTTGTACCTAAACTTGGTACACATTTTTGCCAAAGATTCAGTACCTAAGTATTTTGTGGCTTACATGTTAGTACTTCAATTTTAAGAATGTTTCAAACCAGTCCAGAAATTAAAGCCAACTATAAGCTATTAACAAACTAACCCACTTCTAATATTTTAAAATTTACTGCCCAGACTTTTAAAACTTCGCAAAAACCCTTAAACCGGACAAATGACCACATCAGGTCTTGAAGAAAATGTCATTGATCCTCAGCAACCATTTACCCATTTGCCACCTCTAATAGCACTAGCAATAGACACACGAATAAATCTATTACCTTCATCAAGATGAAGAGTGTAGTTCCCGAGCGGCATATCCCGGTCGAGACTGCGTATTACTTGATCTTCATCCTCCAACCAAAATGCACGTTTAGTTCTTAATCTGAAACCAGACCGAATTGCATCCTTGATGGCATCGGCAGTTCCATCAATGCCAATCCTTCTCAAGTAGTCTCCATACTTGACTGTTATCACCCTCCCACCATATGACTGACTGTCAGCACCTGGTAAAAATAGTACAGAAAAAAAAAAAAAAAAAGAATTCCTCTCAAGACATGAGACAAAAGATTTTGACTTATGGAATGTTTGACTAGTCTATCCTCACCACTTCCGGGGGCTTCTCTCCAATTCCAAGGAGGAACTCCACTTGCTGCAACAGCATCAGCTGCAGTGATGGCAAGGGGATGACCATCGTGATCCAATCGTCTTTCGAGGTTCAGCGTTGGCCTGCCACTAGCTGCACACCAAGAACCTTAAAACGAAGGGGAAAATAACATATCTCTTTGAGATATATTTTGAAGTACATAACAACAATACGTCACATATAAGCCAAAGTGTGCAAAACATAGATAGAAGACTATCTTGACATCTCACTATCAATGTTGTGTAACTATTTACTCACTTGTGAAGTGTAGTACCATTAAGTATTAACAATAATTGTATTGGTTGGAAGACAAAAGGATGCATTTTAATTGCTAATTAACTGAGATTCTATTATCTAATGACTGTTATTCTATTGATATTATATTGATGCAAGAATCAGTAGTCTAAGGAATGGAGGTTTCATTTGGGTATGAGCCCCTTACTACGATGCCAAATTATTAATGATCATCATCTTTGGATTGATCAGCTTGACCCTTAAACCAATATCTACAAAGGGAAGGCAACCTTTTGTGAACATATATCATATTCACAAGTGATTCTTACTAAAAACATCTCAAACACAACAAATACACATGGGCGGTCACCCGGGTATACAACTTTGAACTTATTTCAAGCAATCGATGCACCAAGTTGGAAGACAACTCAAAATCACACCCAAAAGCGATAATGAAGTACCTTCAACTGGTCCAAAAGATAAACTTGCATCTTCAAAACCTGTCAGGGGAATTGGTCAAGAGATGTTCTTCATATGCACAAGAACACATTGCAGAGTTATACCAAAATAGCATAATAAGTGGTAAATGGTCATAGCATCGACCAACCACAAGCCAGTTCACGCTAGATCAAAGAGAAAACCAGGCATGCAAATCATTCGAGAGAAGATGCAATGTGTAAAATCCGAACAATCATCTTCTAGCAAGAGAAATACTGAAAGTGCCAGCCAAACCGATACATCAGAGACAAAAACCAGTCAGTCAACAGTTCACAACCAAGATGATTAGTCTCCTCAGCTACCATAGCCAACCACACTAGGCATTAATAAAGCCTCAACATTACCACTGTATTGCTAGAAACTGTCCTAAACCATGCCAAAAACAGCTCCTCCAACACAACTTCATTCCAACATTTCCATTCCAATATTTAAAATCACACTACACAACCCAAACACCAAAAGATGAGCAATTGAACAGTTCATGGATGCCACAGAAAGAACAGCTCTTGATGAAATTAGTAACAAATCAGAGGGAGCCCTTTCTCACCTTTATCAGCAAACTGCATATATGAGTCGACTTTAGAAGTAGGAGTGGGGCTTTTATACGGCTGACTACTCTTCCCTCTGTCCTTCAAAATCTCATCAATCTCTTTGTAATAAGACATCTTTGCAGACCCTCCACTGCTTCCTTTCTCCTGATGCTTAGCCTTCTTGAACTCCTTCAACAAATTCCTCCACTTATCAGTACACATGGTCGGAGATCGATCAAAACCCTTTTCCCTCATCTTCAACGAAATCTCCTCCCACAAGTGCTTGTTCGATTTAGATGTATTGAACAGCAAATCCATTTCCCTTCGCAAAGCAATCAAGCTCCGTGTTTCGTCCTGTACCCAAGTCTCCGCTCTTTTTTTAGGAGCTCTCACTTCATGTGTGTCTTCCCCGCTGCTCTCCCCTAGAATCATTTGCTGCGGCTGAGGTGGCGGGGGAGGCGGAGGATGATTACTGTGCTGCTGCTGCTGAGGAAGTCGCTGCAAATCGCCATTAGGGGAAACGACTTCTATAATCATGTTGTCTCTCGAAGCAGCAGGCGGCGGTAGTTCTTCTTTGTAGAAATCAATTGCGCGAGGCTTCTCCGACAGATACATATCTATTGCACAAAATTCAGCTTTACCCCGAGCTGGAAACTGGGTTTTGTTGAGAACTGGAAATTAACTTGTGGGTTCAGCAAGGAGAGACGAAAGGGCGGCGGAGTGAAGCCATTGATGAAGGTTGAACTCTGTTTTTTGGTCCTTGTCTGTCGGTTGAGTATGGAGGCGGAAGATTGATGGGAGGAGAATTGGATTTGGAAGCGAGCGGAATAGCTTAGAGAGAGGGAGGAGGGTGCGTGAAGTAAAAGCTTTAGGCTTTGAGGATTAACAGCGGAGAATAGAGGGGAAGAAATAGGATGAGACGAGAAGCCAAAGGTCAAACGACCTCGTTTAGGCGAAACCTCGGCAGCAGCATAAGGAAATATCTCAGCGTCGACTCTTTCATCATCTGCGCACTGCGCGCCTCTGGCTCTGTCGTGTCGGATCCCTCGGGCCTCAGCTCAATCCCTTCGCGCCATTTTTATTTTCCCAAGACGAACCTTCAAAATGCTATAGACGGAGATGAACCGAATTCACGTCTCTTCTCAGCAATCAAGAGCTTCTTTATCTTCCGTCAATGGTAAAGCCCTTTCTTCCATTCCACTCTCAGCTCAAAAGAACAACTCCAGCAACCAAAAATTTCTTCCAGTTCCAGGTATTCTATCGAGCACTTTTTTGCCTGGGCAATGTATATACAAGGGTTGTGAAGAATTTGTGATGTTCTTGTGCGCTTCTGAGCTTTTCCAGAAGTGGGGTTTGCATCGTTTTTGTTTTGAATGGTTGTAGCTTTGAAACTCTCCATTTTGTGGGACTTGTTTGCGTTTTGCTGGGGAGCATGTGGAAATAGGTTGATTAGCTGGAAGTATGATATGATAAAACTGTCGCCTCGTGGTTGCCTGAACTATGGTTTCAGCCCTTCCTAGGGGGTCGTGGTGGTTCCCGTTTGCTTTTGCCTTTGACAAAGTTGGATACTTGTAAAAAAACTAGCTTGCATTTGGCTTATGCTTTTGGGATTGATGTGTATGCCAAGCCATTCACTATGAATTGTGAGTTTGGCTGCCATTTTCCTTGCCCTTGCATTCTCTGCCTTTCAACAATATGAGGGTACTTAATGAAAGGGCAACTTAAGATATCCAATTTGTCATTTCTTGCAACCATTAGATTCTCGAGTTATGGATGAATGTGGTAGAAAAGGGTTTTGCTGTTTTACTTGAAAATGCGTCTCCCAAGAGCAAAGATTTAAGTCCTTTGATGTCAATGAAAGGTTTCGGGCATGAAAACCGTTTGCTTTCCCTTAGAGAATAGAGCAAGGCTGATCGTCTGTTTCTTGATTGCTGCCGTTAATAGTTTTACACTATACAGTCCGAATCAAGTGAACTGCTTTGCAAGCTAAGTTTCTCATATGTAGTTTTTGCCTTATCTTTTAAGTACTTCATGTGTGTTCTAACAGTTTAAGTAGTGTGTGGCTATTGTAGGACGGGGTTTCACCAAAACCGAGTCACTGCCTACAGTCTTATACTCTTTGCAATGACCAATGCCTGCATTACTAGAGTCAACCATATCCACCACAAGAGGGTCACAATAACAATATCATCATCCTCCACAAAGACCTGCACCAATCTCTCTGGCTGCAGATTTTTCACCAGCTCACAACTGTTGATATCTCCAACACCTTCTTTCAAACCCCTAGCCTTATCCGCCTGCATCACCCAATCAGATGCACCTCAACGCTCGGAGGAATGGTTTGCCCTTAGGAAGGACAAGCTGACCACAAGCACCTTTAGTACCGCCTTGGGGTTTTGGAAGGGGAAACGACGACCAGAGCTCTGGCGTGAAAAGGTTTTTGCATCAGAAGTTGAGTTTGTTCCAGCTTCAAAGAATGCAATGGAATGGGGTGTGCTCAATGAATCATTAGCCATCGACCGATATAGAAGCATCACGGGTCGTGAGGTTAGCTCACTAGGGTTTGCAGTCCATGCACAAGAGAAGCTCGATTGGCTTGGTGCTTCACCAGATGGTCTACTTGGGTGCTTTCCTGAAGGTGGGATATTGGAAGTGAAGTGTCCTTATAACAAGGGGAAGCCCGAGCAGGGTCTCCCTTGGTCGACCATGCCTTTCTATTACATGCCTCAGGTTCAAGGTCAGCTGGAGATTATGGATAGAGAATGGGCAGATTTGTATTGCTGGATGCCGAATGGTAGCACGATATTCCGTGTCCCCAGGGACCGTGATTACTGGGAGCTAATGTGTGGGATGTTGAAGGAGTTTTGGTGGGAGAATGTGATTCCTGCTAGGGAAGCTCTTGAAGCAGGGAAAGAAAAAGAAGCTGATTCATATATGCCAGCATCTACACACAAACAGACGGGGCTCGCCATTTCTAAAAGTATGAAGTTAGCTGCTCAATGCAAGCTTCAGTGTAGGGAAATTGCAGGCCTTGTTGAATTCTTTAGGTGAGAGAAATCTGGTCTTCTCCTATTGTCACACATTCGTTTACTAATCCTGTGTTAATTTTAGTTCCATATGGAAAACCTATGATTCAATTCTTTTCAAATTGGGAGTTGAATCCACACTTTGCAAGGTCGAGTTGGGCATGGAAACAAGGCATCTGTTCGTGTTTCCGACTTGTGAATGTCTGTGTTAACCTATTATTTGATTTGATTTGACGACGATGGTGGTGACTGAAAAACGGGAAGAAGGGGAGAGACAGGAGTCTTTGTGGGTTTGTTTTGTTTCTTATGCTGCATGGATTTAGTTCTGCATTTTGGTTCTGCTGTTTTATATCCTGAATTAAGCCCGAAGTTGGGTATAGAACGACATGTAAACTCTTCTCTTGTTTTTGGATCTGTTCAAACTTCAAAGGAATAAAAAAGATACTGTAGTGGTTTCATACGACTCAGATCATTGGTCAGCATGTTCTTCATTGGATTTAATGTGTTACCAGTGACCCTATGCCCTTGTTCTGTATAATTCAATCAAAAGTGAGTGAAAGATTTGCTCAGGTGATTGAAAGTTTCTTTTTTTTCCCCCTTCAATATCATCTCATGTATTTATTTTTCGTTATTTTGAAATAAAAACAAAAAATACGAAACAAAATTGTAACGATGAATGATCTATTATAAATGAGCTGTATGCAGAATTATATTGCATTCCTCCAAACATTAATGGTATTCTTCAATGAACAAGAAAATAGTCATTTTTTTTTTTTTGAAACATGAATAACACGAGATGTATGTTGGATGATTACTTGATTGTCACCCAAGATGAATGGATGACAAAGGGAGGGGAAAAGAAAAGAGGGAAGAGACTGTTTTCCATTTCTAACTTCTTCTTCTTCTGGGCCTTACAGCTTCATTCACCCTCCTTATGAGAAGCAGAAGCAGGTTTCTTCCTCAAATCTTTCATCCATTTCAAGCTAAGAAACTTCTTCCCAATGCTGCTCTTGCTCCCATCTTTCCCCTTCTTCTTGTCATTCTGCGGGGGAGGATCGTCGTTGTAATCCCATTGATCCGCCCACGATAACCCGGAATCCATCTCCTTCTGCAATGGATCTGCCTTCGTCTTCTTTCTCCCCGCTCTATATTAGTTATTTCCGAAAAGTTGTTCGCTTTTTCTATACCAACCAACCATTCAGCATAGGCATTTCATCGATCCCTATTACTCTTCTAAATTTGGCGCGTAAATATGCGAGTCACAGATACCAACCAAGTGTAGCAATTATATGCACAAGGCCAACTGCTGGGCCTGGTGGGAGAAGTAACAAAAGGAAGAGCAAAAGAATTGTTCCAAGTCGGACTAAAAAGATAGAGGAAGCTCCATATGGAGGCCTAAATTTTAATTGGGGAAATGATGAAACTATTCAGATCCTCCATTGAAGAAACAAAGAGGGATTTTGAGACAATTGGAAATGACAATGAAGTCCTTACAACTTGGAGGTGAAACCAAACATTTTCAAAAAAACTTAGGTAAAGAAAAATGGATGTTTATTGTTTAGGTTCTATAACTACCATGAGGTGATGTAGGAATTGCAATGAGCAATTGACATCTCGATATCCATACTCATTTTGTGGTAGTTCAGATCTAGATTACGTAATTTATCATGGTGTAGCAATTCATCGATCCCTATTAATCTTCTAAATTTGGCGCGTAAATATGCGAGTCACAGATACCAACCAAGTGTAGCAATTATATGCACAAGGCCAACTGCTGGGCCTGGTGGGAGAAGTAACAAAATCCCTCTTTGCTTCTTCATAGGAATTGCAATGAGCAATTGACATCTCGATATCCATACTCATTTTGTGGTAGTTTAGATCTAGATTACGTAATTTATCATGTTGTCATCTTGGTGTTATCATCATGATCGGTTCCACCCCGACTGTTATAACTGCCATCAACACTGCTAGCATAGATGCATATGGGGAGCAAAAGTAATCTTAGTAGAATTATCAGACAACGAGAATTCTAGCAAAAATGATAACGAGAATGCTGGAAAACCTAATGAAATATGGAGTATAATGTTAGAGTCTAACGAGAATCGTTTGTGGCTATAACCCATATCAAGGTTTATAGCCACAAAACGAGCTACGATTCGTTCATCTCTTACATACATGACCCACAATTGGTTGATCATCAACTGTATAATGAACCAACATCGGCTCAGAAATTCTACGCATGGTCCGTTGTCGGCTAGACTCCACCCTTTAATTTCCATGAGCCAAAATTGTTTTGATCTTGTTATATACATATCTAAAAATCCAAGATGGGTTTAGTCTATAATAGCTCCAAATTCATGAACCATGATTGGTACATATTTTTTTATCTCTTGCAATACACGAATCACAATTAGTTCGTTCTCTTGCCAAGGTTTCCCGAGAGCCCAATAAAAATGCGATTGTCGCCGCAAAATCTCCTTCGTTCAATATTTACAACAACAAGAAGGGCAACTAATGGATCCCAAATTAAAAAATTTAATTTGACAAAAGTATTTCTAGATAGTCCATAATCAGCAACCCACACCGATTACTACAGGTCATCTGAGGTCAACCAGGCTGGGGTCAATCACCCCGGGTCACCTAGGCCACCCCAGGGTCACTCCGGCCACCCGGGGCCAATCACCTTGGGCCACCTTGGGGTCATTCCGGTCACCCGAGGTCAATCACCATGGGTCACCTTGGGGTCACTCCGCCCACCCCGGGGTCAATTATCTTGGGTCACCTAGCCCATCTTGGGGTCACTCCGGCCACCTGGGGTCAATCACCTTGGGGTCACTCCCGCTACCCCAGGGTCAATTACCTTGGGTCACCTAGCTCACCTTGTGGTCACTCAGGCCACCGGGGGTTAATCACCTTGGGGTCACTCCGGCTACCACGGGGTCAATTACCTTGGGTCACCTAGCCCACCCCCGGGTCACTCCGGCCACCCGAAGTCAATTACCTTGGGTCACCTAGCCCACCCCGGGGTCAACACCTCGAGTCACCTAGCCCACCTCGGGGGTCACTCCTAGGGCTGGAAGTTTGGTAGTTGGTACCAGAATTTGGGTATACCGAATACCATACCGAATTTGTCTATATTTGGTATTAGCGATACACGTATTATTTCATGGGATTGGCATTGGATTGAATTTCAATTGTTATTCGGCATTAGGGATTACGGAATTGGGATCGGTATATACCGAAATACCGATCAATACCGAAATATAAGCTAGTGTGTATGTTATCCTCTCAACTAGACTCTCATATTCACTACTACGCGACCCTCAACCACGTGTCATTTAATTATACATAGATCATTCCATATCACTATTTCACACTAGTATTAGTTGTCTCTCAACCTCCAATTCGTCAAATTAAAGATTACCAATTACAAGAAATTGAGATGTTATTTCTAGGTCAATTCGTCAAATTAAAGATTACCAATTACAAGAAATTGAGATGTTATTTCTAGGCCAATTCGTCGAATTGAAGACTACCAATTACAAGAAATTGAGATGTTATTTCTAGGCAACTGAAGACTCATTGCTTAGTCTCTTTGCCCTAAATTAAACAATAAAATCTCATTTATATTTAAGGCTTAATACACTCGCATAGCCATAATTATTCGAGTTGTGACAATAATAGCCACATTTTAAAAAATACACAGATCTAGCCATTCCGTCCATAAAATTAACGGCAAAGTAACTGATGTTGACTGGATATAAGGTTATTGGCTAAGTTGGAATTTTTCGGCCACGTAACATGCCAGGTGGATTATGGAAATCATTATTTAAAATTAAAAAATAAAAAACGAAACAAAAACTCACTTTACCTTTTTCGATCGTCACTTTACCAATTACCATTTCCATCTACCTTTTCACCCACCCACCCGATATCCTCTTTTCTCCTTCTCCTTCTACAGACGAACCTCCACCAGTTCTACCGATCAACGGCGACGGCGACGGCGATGGTGGACTGAGAAGCAGAACTCACCCCTCAATTCACCCACCTATCCTGTTCGTTGTTCCGCCCCTTCATCTCTGTTCGAGCGTCGACTGTGGCATGCATCATCCGGGCTGGCGAGTAGAGAACTGAAGCATCGCACCCCTCGACCAGTTGCAACGACCGCAACGAACCCTAATCCACTCCTGAATCAGGCGAAGAAGGCAACAAGAGGACTCGAAGGATTGAGTGGTTTGGAGGGGGGGGGAACGAGACGGTGGCGGGGGTTTCAGGACGAGGCGACGACGCGGGGGAGGGAGGGGGAACGAGACGGTGGCGGGGGTTTCAGGAAGAGGCGACGACGCGGGGGAGGGAGGGGGGACGAGACGGTGGCGGGGGTTTCAGGACGAGGCGACGACGCGGGGGAGGGAGGGGGGGTTGGGGTTTGGGATTGGGAGTGCGACGGCACGGGGGAAGGAGGGGGGGTTGGGGTTTGGGAGTGCGACGGCGCTGGGGTTTCGGGTGGAAACCTAAATGCAGAAGAGAATAGGGATTTGGACGAAGAGAGACGACGATGATGAAAGAGTAAATAAGGTAATTTTTTTTTTATTTCTCGAAGTGGTAATGATCAAGTCCACGTCACCGCTGATGTGGGCAAGGTGAGTCTACTTGGCGATGACATGTCGTCCAGGTGGAGGCCACGTAGGTGACACAAGGACGTTACTGACGGCGCGTCTAACGACGTTAAAATTTTTTACGAAAATGGCTAAAGTTGACAACGTAGTTTCGAAAAGGTGGCTATATTTGGGATTTTTTCAAAATGTGGCTATTATTGTCACAACCCGAGTTTTTTTGGCTATACAAGTGTATTTTGCCTATATTTAATTACTAATTGAAAGGTAATTAATTTTGTATTCGATAATACTGATTGGGATACCGAGGTACCGATTGGGATACCGAAATATTTAGTGATTGGGATTGGGATTGATATTAGGTGTAATTCAGTATGGGATTTCGGTATTTGGTATTGGGATACCGATACCATATGGATTTCCACCCCTAAATTCGGCTACCTCGGGGTCAATAATCTCGAGTCACTCGGGTCACCCCCATGGTCAACCACCCCTAGTCACCTCGACCACCTTGGGCTCTCCGCCCACCCCAGGTCACCTAGAACCTTTATAAAAGGCCACTTCGTCTCCAAATTGAGGTAAGCAAAAAATCTCCATGTCTAGACTCGTGAACTCTCGCTATGATTAGCGCAAATATTCATTCTCGACTCCATTCCCTCATCTTTCATTTCAAGGTCATATTCTTCTCCACTCAACCCCTCGCTAACTTGAGCGTTGGAAAGTGGATCGGCCGTTGGACCCTTTTTGTAGGAGACGACCGTAGCTGACATCACGAGAGAAGTTCGAGGTGGAAGGTGGTAGTCGACCGACTCAGGTGCCCAACATAAAAAAAAACTCGACGTCGGCTACAACCTCGACAACAACAAGAACCAATTTTACTAATTAGGAGA